ATTATATTGTCTTCAACGTTCCAGCGAATAGGTTCAAGCTACAAACCTATCACATAACACACGTGAAAAGACCCAGGAAAACCGTGTTATCGTTTTTATCGTTAACTAAGTAACGCTGAAAACCGATAAAAACCCTGAAAACTATACATTTCACACCTGAGCCTCAACTCTCACGGCCCGGTACCAAACGACTCACGGACCGGTGCCGATCCGAGGCCCGGGGATTGGGGACCGCTGGTTTAACACATTAGATAACATGCCGCCAGTGGAGTTTCCGGTAACTTTTTTACCAATCAGATGTGGCCATGCAGTCACATGACCAGTTTGAAACTGTGGCGGGGAGAGCGGCCCAAGTGTTTCAACGTAGCGGACACACGGAAAGAAGAAACATGAAAACATGGCAGAGTCTACGCTAGAGCTGAAGAGGATGAACAGCATTTTCCTCACACACAAAGAATGTTTCGCTTAAAAGCAGCACAAACCCAGTCTTATGTGTCGAGCTCGAGCTGCGAGTCATGTTTTCGGCGCTACGTTGTAGAGAGACAAGTTTGTGTGTTTTGTGCAGCTTCAGCTGTCCTGTTAACTGCTTGCTGGTTAGCTAGCGTGAGCTATAAGCTAACAGCTAGCCTGGCGCTAAAGTTTCACGCACATGCAAACAGCTCGTCTCTACTGCTTTAACTGTTAAAACAGAAGCAACACTGCGGCTGGCAGGGTTTATTATGTGAAACAGCAGCTTGTTTAATTTAAACAGTCTGCATTAAGCTGGGCAGATACTGCGATTTTTTTCAGTCACGTTATTCAGCTCCTGCTCAAACTGTACAATTAAATCGCAGAGGTTAGAAGTTCATAGGTCACGATGCAGGTCTCACACTATACGGCCTGATGCTCTGATGCGACCTGAGTGATCAAACTGTGCGTCCATAACATGAAGCTTATCATACAAAATCTGTCCCTCGCTCTCCCTCTCTGTCTTACAGACACACACACCACCATCAACTTTGCTAAATTACTAATGAAAAACAATGACCAGACAGCTGTGATTGAGCAGCAAAGTCCATCCAACTCTTTTCATGGTTGTTGTAGTCAGGATAATTTTGTGAGGTCACATTGAAAAGCTGCCACCCAGGCAAAAGAAAAATAGAAAAGTATATTGTTCTAATAATATACTATCAGGTTATTACAATATACAGAATTATCACGTTCGTACAATATAAATATTATATAGGCTACATCGCAGCTCCAGTTGCGTTTCCATCACCGTCTTTCTCGTCTTTTCCCAGAGTAACAGCCAAACAGGAGGATCTGTTGGCGAGCACTGCTTAGCCTTGCACGCATTCTTATTTTAAACTTAATCTGGAATTTATTGCAAACTGTTTGTGCGGGACATGAATGACAAGATTTTGTTTTTCTACAAAAACATCTCCAGTGTGATTGAATCTTCTTGCCAAACATCTGCAGCTTGGCAGTGTGTACAGCACTATAATGACCAGAGATCAGAGGTGTGGATCTGTTGCATGGCGTTCCTCACATCAAGAAGCTGTCGATCAAAGTCAATACAGCTCTTCCTGCATCTGGAGCTTGTGAAGGACTTCTCAGTCATGCAGGACTCCTGTTCACTGCTGAACAGTCACAGCTTCACAGAAAGAACCTTGAGAGCAAACTGCTGCAGAAGCTGAACCATCACCTCACTGAGTGAAGAAAGGGCACATTTTTGCTGAATATGCAGAAACAGATGCACACCCATACAACTTATGGTAAACTGAGCTGCCTTGTATGAACATATGTTGAAGCTGCCTCGTTCTGTTTTCTCTGAGGCTGCTGTGCCATTTGGAGCAACAATGAATGTAAAGTTCACAGCATATCTAGTCAGTGGAAATAGTTTGCACTGTTTATATATTTATATTATTTACTGCAGGTATTGGTGAAAAAAGCTTTATGTTGTGAAAAACTGAAACCTGGAAATTAGAATCGTTGTGCCTTATTTTGATGTTTTTACATATATTCCTGTTGAAAATACTAAGATTTGTATATTTATTTATTTTTGTTTGTCTGATAGCATTTATTTATAAAATAAATCTGACATTTCAAACAGTTACTCGCTACTTGAGTAGTCTTTTAGTACTTTTTTACTCTTACTCGAGTAACTTTTTTGACGACTACTTTTCACTTTTACTTGAGTAATAATATTTTAAAGTAATGCTACTCTTACTTGAGTACAATTTTTGGATACTCGACCCACCTCTGTATGTTAAGTTGAGGCGACACCAGGTCACATCAGCTGCAACATAAACAATCCTGATTCAGAGCAACTGATTGGGTCACACAGAGAGGAGGAGACACTTATTATCCCAGTTATGTCAGACTTGAAGATGAATCCAGATCAGATCAGCGCCTCCCTCTTATTCTCACTTTTGTGTTCAGCAGTCCGCTCTGAGATAATCCAACCTAAACGGGCTAAAGTGGGACACGCACAGCGTCACGTAGCATTTGCATCAAACAAGGTGGAGGAACGGCAGCGAGAGACCCACGAGAAAAACAAGCACATCTCCTAAGTGTAGTGCACCATGCCTCCTAATGACCAACCACAGAATCTTTGACCTGCAGCCGTGGGTGGTACTAACCGTTTAAAGAGTGGCCCGGTCCTCCAGATGTTGGTGTTTCCCACGCAGCCCCGTGGAGGTTCAGTGATGTTCTCCTTCTCAAACAGCTCCTGCAGAGACTGCGCCACCACGGCCACGGCGTCCGCGATGTGCGCCGACTCGTTCTTACCGTTAATCAGCTGGAGGCCCAGCAGGCCTGTGCCCACACACACGCACACACAGCAGGAAGTTAAACAGGCTGCAGACTCAAAGCTGCCCTCATTCACACACACATGTTAATTAAACACTCGCACACACTTTCATTCAGCTGATGTAATTACACAGTGCATCAGTGTAATTCAAACACACACTCGGGGCTTCAGGCGTCAGGTCAGTGTTCATCACGACCAAACTGCATGCTGGGAGTTCACTCTGACAATCACAGCGTTTGTCTCAGCAGAAAAGCCTCACTGAGACGTCATGAAGAGTGTGTGGTGTTTTCCTTCAGCACAAACTCGTCATGCTGCGTAAAGTGTCTGCATCTGTCTCCAAGCTGGGCCAAAACGGGTGGCTAACAGTGCTAGCATCCCCCAAAATCTACTGGTAATAGCTAACGAACAGTGTTAGCATCTCACAAATGAACCATAAGTAAAAGCTAACGGACAGTGTTAGCATCTCGCAAATGAACTATAGCTAACCATCAAGTTAGTTACTAAACTTTTTTTATAAATGCCTTACTAAAAACCTTTGGCTAAAATGGAATTGCTAACTAATATTGTTGGGAACTTACATTACGCTAACATTAACAAACTGTTATTTTTTTGAAATGCTATGCTAACAATTAGCTGAAATTTCAAAACATTTGGCAGGAAAGCTAATACATCATAATTTCAACTTTTCATGTGAAACAAGTTTCAAATAATGAGCCAAATGTGTGAGAACATAATCTGTGTTATTCCTGAGACTACTCTGCTTCAGGTCTGTATATATTCTCACTTATTATAAACACGTCCTCTAAGTACGATGCATACTTGAGGGACCTTGGTAGACTTCCTGAAGTTGGCCAATCAAAAAAAGAGAACGTTTTTTAGCACACGAGCCTTAAACAGACAACTTATTGCAGATAGATGATGACCTGAGGGCCAGCGGCTGCTCTAGTGCAACATAAAAGCAGAGCTGGAGCTGAGCCGATGAAGCTGTTTCTAATGATAACGAGCACTGACGGCAGCAACACAATTAGGAAGCCCGACACGTCCGCCTCTCTTCTATAAACAAAGCTAAAGGGGAAGCGTGCCTGTGCCGCCGCTGCCTGCAGACCGATGCAGCTGCACAAACATTTCCCTCATAGTGCAACAGGAACCCGTGAAGAAAAACACCAACAAAATCCAGAACGTCGCAGTGCTGCTCCACACGTTTCTTTTCAGGGGATCGTTTCAGGAGGGTGGACACAATAATGCAAACACCTGTACCATCTGATATAAAGCAGGCCTGCAGATGCTCTCGCTGGTATTACGGGTGCGCTGAGATTTGAGTTACAGCTGATCACATTATTCTGCCCAATCCTGTGTAGGCCCCACCCACAGAAGAGTTTAGGATGAAGGTTATAATCTACCTCGCTGTTACATGCAGCTGATTTGTGTTTTATCTAGCCCAGGCTCGCTGCAGCGGCCAAGTTTGATCCGTGACTGAGCCTGTACGCTAACATGGACACGGCTGCTGTTTGGGGCTAAAACCACTAACACTGTTTTACAGCTCGAGCATTTCCACTCATGCTTCTGTCACACAAATTATACGATATTGTTTCAGGAAAAGTAATAAGTAATAACGTGAAAGGAAAATATTGCAGATCTGAGATTTTCTACTAAGAGGAAGTCAGGCTGCTGCAACATTTAGTTTTCTCATTAAGGCTAAAAAGCTTCAAGCTGTTTGTTTCAGAGATATGACCTCTGACTGTTTCTGGTGGAAAGCAGAAACGATCTAGCATCTCTGCTGAGCTGAAACGGTCCACCCAGAAAAGAAACCTCCACCCTCGTGCAGCAGAGACAAACCCACTGTGGATCGTTTCAGAGTGCGGTTTCGCTGCACTTTCAAGGCAAGGATGGATCGTTTTTCTGACACATCAGCGACTCGGAGGACGCGATGTCCAGAAAAGCCACGCATCGTCTCTTAAGAGTGCAGGGGCCGGCCGGTGAGGATGTCTGTAGAAACAAAAAGCCATGGCAACAGAGCGGGGAGCCGATTACCCAGCAGCCAGAGGGGAACGCCACGACCAGGACCAGGACGCCACGTTAACTACAGCATCATGTCAGGGACAAAACTCCAACATGTGCACTTATTTAATGTTCATTAGGTGAACTCAGAGCAATATTAGAACACGAGCACCTGTCTGCTGGCCTTCATCTGCTTGTTCCTTTCACTTCATCGTCTAGTTCGAGCTGTCAGATTTTCATTCCCTGATTATACTGATAATACCACACAATGGATCTAACAGCTTCATTTTATTTACTTTAACTTAGCCGACTAATAATGACAAATGCTAATTCAAATAAATGAACGAAACGAGCAGCAGAGACAGGAGAACGTATCCTCGGCTTTTTCTTTCCAACATTCAGCAACTCTGATTTATTCATTTATCAGATTTTCATTAATATAATCATTGAAATGTTAAATTCATGTCAAGTTGACCTGTTGACCTGTTGACCTCTGTGCTATGACAGTGAATAGCTTCATCTTTTCTATTGTGTGCAATAAAACCTGCAATCGCCTGACCTCTTCCCGATGAGTTCCTGCTCTTTTACATCCATTCTGTGCGTTAAAAGGGCGTCCGCATACTTTTGAAGTACGAAGATAAACGTGTGAACTGGCTGACTGAGTAATTAGCTGAATAAACCCCGCCCCTGGCTCCACGTTGCCATGGGCGTGGCCTCTATTGGCCACTTGCAAAGGGCAAAGCATCAAGCAGGTAACAGGAAGCAAGGGCGGCATCTTACCAGTGTTTGATTGGACACACGTCACGGTTACCGCAGCAACATTAGCAGTTTATTACCCCCCCACACCTGAATCATTAAGCCCGCCCCTCCCACCCCTGTTTAGCAGCATGTTATTGTTACTGTGAGAATGGGCAGACGGGCAGGCGGGCGGACGACACACACTATAGAAATGAAACAAACAAAAAGATGTTAGACACATTTAAAGCCACACAGTTACAATGAGCCCGGAGAGGAGGGAGCGGTTAAGAACCTTTAAACACGCCTCCACGCTCGCCATGTTTAAACATTCAACCGGCACTCCGAAGAAACCAGAGAGAGAGAAAACACACCAGGACACTGAGAAGCTAACAGACTGATGAAGAGTAGCTTCCTTCATCTGAGACCTACTAGAAACAGTGCCAGACACAGAGAGAGAGAGAGCTGTGCTTCCATCCAACCGTTTTAACATCGGATCGAATGATGACGCTAAAAGCTCGCTGACTCCCGACCTGCCTGCACCGCTCTGTGGACCGACACTTTTACACTAGAGGACGTGACGTTAGAGGACACAAGCCTCAAAGCGCTCTAACGCTCCTCTAACGGGACGCTGTCAAAGTTCCCCGAGCCTCTTCTGTCTCCGAACATCTCCAACCGAGTCTCAGGCAGTGCCTGTCGTTCTGGCTGCTTTCTGAGGAGATGTTTCCTGTCTCTGAACTCAAACCCGGCCGAGCTCTTAAAGCTACGTAGAACCTCTCTGTTTGGTTTCATCTTTCAGCAGCCCAACACCCTCGCAACCGCTGCCCAACATCAGAGCAGCCGTCGACGATGTGAGCGTCCCCACTGCAGGACCTCGGGACAGCCTTTATGGACGATGAAGAGGACCGAGATGCTGCTGATGTTGATGATGATATGTTGATTATGGAAGCGTCAATCGATTAGACGCTTGGACCTGGAGAAGGACACGTCCCTTAGAGTGTCCTGTGGGAACAGCGCTTCAGGAGTATGGGGTGTTTGGTTTTTAGAGGTCTTTCGGTCCCTTGCTGCGGTTGTACGTCAGACTCATTCCTGGTGGATAACCCAGGGCTGACCTTTGTCACCGCTTCAGTTCATAATTTTTATGGACAGAATTTCGAGGCGTTGTTTCTCGGTATGTATTATTGTAGGGTTTATCGCTGTATGAATAAAATTTACTTGAATTTAAAATTGAATTGCGTAACCAAGTGGCTGAAAGATTTTACTTTGGAGGTCTCAGAATCTCGTCTCTGCTTTTTACAGATGATGTGGTTCTGTTGGGTCATCAGGTGGTGGATTCACAGCCGAGTGTCAAACTGTGGGAATGAGAATCATTGCCTCCAAGTCTGAGGCCATTGTCCTCAGCTGGAAAAGGGTGGAGTAAGAGGCGAGTTACTGCCCCAAGCACCTCGGGTCTTGTTCATGAGTTGGCTGTAAAAGCAAAACTGTCGATTGTCGAATGAGCTCGAATGGCAGGCCTCCCCCTTACAGACAGGGTAAGGAGTGCCATCGTTCGAGGGGGGCTCAGAGTAGAGCCAATGTTCCTCCACATCGAAAGGAGGCAGCTGAGGTGGTTCGGGTATCTAACAAGGATGCCTCCGTTCACATGGGCATTACCCACGGGGAGGAGGCCCACTGGAGAGACTCCATCTCTGGGCTGGCCCAAGAACATCTTGCCCCGTGATCCCAGACAAGCAGAAGAAAATGGATGGAAGGATCTACTTGTTAACTGATGATGTGATCTGATCCTGATCCTATATGATGGTGTAGTGGGTGTAGTGAACTTTTATTGAGAAGTTGGACCGTGTTTAACTGTCAGAGGTCTGATTTTTCGTGAACTGAAGCAGCATTTGGTATTTGGTTAAATATGTCCGACTGATGATGACAGGAACAAAGAAAGAGCAGTTTGATCTATTTCCTCTCTGCAGGTGACAGGTGACTGCTTTCTTGTGAATTTTCCTTCTGTTCGAGCTTTGCTGTCAGTTGGATGGAAGAAGAGCTGCAGACAGACAGAGAGGAAGAAAGGAGGAAGAGCAGGTGAGAGACGGACGTACCGTCTGGAGCTTCACTCAGAGCTTTGCCGGTCATCTCCCGCTCTCCAACCAGCCAGACATAACCGGAGCCGGTCATGTTGAGCTGCCGGGCGGCTTTGTACACGAGCGCAGCTTCGTCTTCACTGCAAACACACAAACACACAGCAGGTAAGCACTCACCTGTGGCTGACACAAACAGACCAAAGAACCAGTCATCAATCACCTGGCAACACTCTGGAAAGCAACATATCAAACACGCCTGTGGACGCACAGTCTGACTTCTTCTGTTCGAGCTCCAAACGTCTCTTTAAAGACCTGATGAAGGTTTGGCTGATTTCACTTCAGTGCAGTCAGTTTTTCTGCACCACAGCACCAGAAACACTGCACCTCAGTACATCGACTGACCACAACTTTCACAGCATTCCCGAGGACATAATAAGAGCTCCAGGGTCTCCGTGGTTGGTTCTTCCCAGCGGCAAGACAAAGAGGAAACGTAAACGTTTTCCAGTTTTTGTGTTTTTATCTGTTGTACAGTGTCCTTGGGTGCTTTGAAAGGCGCTATTTTTAAATAAAATGTATTATTATTATTATTATTATTATTATTATTATTATTATTATTAAACAAAGGAGGCAAAAGTGTGGCTGCAGGGCGGGTCCACTAGCACGGCTAAAGAAACAGCCATTTAAGCTACCGCCTCTGAGTATTTTCCTCTCCAACGTCAGGTCCATAACCAACAACTACCCAGGACACCGGGTGTTTAAGCTGCTGCCGTCTGGCAGGAGGTTCAGGCTGCTGAGGTCCCAAACAACCAGACTCAAGGACAGTTTTTACAACAGGACAACAGCCCTGATCAATGCTAACAGCTGACCTGACACTTCTTCTTCTTTTTTTATTACTAAGTTAATATACTGTGTTGTGTTGTTTGTGTTGCGTTGTGATGTGTCGTATCGTGTCGTGTTGTGTTATATGTAGTGCCGACGTAGGACAGTTTTCCAATTTCATTGTACTACTGTACTATGTATGACTGTGCAATGACAATAAAGACTTATCTTATCTAATCTTATCTGATCTTAGCACCTCACGATGAGCTGAAGCTCGGGCCGTGGCCTTCAGACTTTGGCCTTGTTCAGTTTTGGAATCGCTGCTGGTGTTTTGTGCAGAAGAGTCTGACTTTCATCAGACGATAGAGGCTGATTGTCGTTGTATCAGACTAAGGGCTAATCTTTAGACCTTGTACGTCCTACTCGCGTTTACATGGATCTTTTTACACAACATTTGCAGGTGCTACTTTTACCTGTTGGGGATACACAGATTCAGTCCAACACTTGCTGATGGCTTAGTCACAAAGTTCCTGCAAAGTCATGTCAAGAACAACTTAAACTGTGACCAGTGTCCTAACCCTGATACAGCCTAACTGTGGAAACCACAACATCATCCAATCAGAAACCATCATGGAAACCACACAAACCTGGCAGAGAGGATGATGACTCGGGCCTCCAGGTCTTTTGCCTCCAGCAGCAGGGCGGTAATGTTGGTGTCCTGGCTGAACAGCAGCACCTTCTCAGCCTGGAGGACCACCAGATGGACACAGTGGACGGACGGTAACACCGAGGGACAGTGAGAAACACGGCAGAACAAAACACCACAGAACACATCGCAGGACAGCCATCGTTAGCTCCACATCCACAACCCCTCCCCAACCACCCACAACCCCAACCTTGACCATGCTTCCTCTCACCCACGCTACCACCGGAGGAGGAGGAGGGGAGGAGGGACGGGAGCAAAAAATGGAGACAAAAAGTGTTCAAGATCTGCTGAACTAAAGAAAACTCAAAGTCGAAGCTGGAATACAAAGAAGGAGGGGCAAAAAGTTGTGCATGGTGTGGTGGCACATGCAAGCTGAGGCGCTTTCAAGACTCCAACCAACCAACCAATCGGGAACGTGCATGTTAGAGCGCACTGATGCAACTGCAAACTAAAAAAAGAAAAGAAAAAAAGATTCAAGTGGAGGGGGGGGAGGAGGGGAGGAAGAGGAGGGGAGGCGGGGAGGAGAAGTGATTCATTTCCAAAAAGAAAAAGAAAAGAGGAGTGAGAGGATCCTGGTGTGCGGTGTTCCTCGATAATCTGCAGACAGAGCCACGCGTCAGCCTGGCCACATGCAACCCTTCACAAGGAAAAACTCGGGGAGGGGGAGGGGGATGAGGAGGGGGGAGGAAGAGGAAGGGCGTCTCTCCTGCGAGTGTAAACCCATTCCCGATGTGCAGGAATCATGAAAAATCAAAAGAAAGAAAAGAGATGGTGGAGAAAAGACGTGCCACCAGGATAAGAGTCTATCTCTGGAGCCGGGTTGGATTCTGGGCGGGCGGGCTGACTGGTGTTTGGCTACTACTGGGCGAGCTCAGAGATTGGTTGGGCGGCGTGCATCATTTGACCATGCAAGTTTATACCTTGGGTGTTCTCCTGAAGTCAAAGTTCTGTTGGTCGAGGTTTTCATAGTTCCTGTTTTTAGTCTGATGGGTAATGTGCACAGAGAAAATATGCAGACACAGAAGAAGATTATAGACAGTCAGAAAAATGGGAGGGGGGGGGGGGGGGGTAGCAAAGCATCCAATAAATGATTGATTTCTTCTGCAGGAGTCGGACGCAAACACATCGCAGTCTGCCCAGCGGTCTGTCGACCTGCGTCCAGTTCGGACTTTTCTTCTTTTTAATAATAACCCCAGCGTGCAGCGCCCCCTGGTGTGTGGACAACAGCGGCACGTGTTAACCAGTAGCATCTGGATGAGGTTTCTAAGCACTGCTGTGCTGAAGGTGTAAGTTTTAACAAAATGAAATGGAGTGATTTGTTTTCTAAGCAGTGATGTCAGGATATCAACCATAGGATGGCCATTATCGCCCAAAACTCCCTGAATGAAGAGGAAACCACTCACCCTGAGATAAACTATAACCTTCTGGTTTTATCTAAAGGTATAAACACGTATTAATCAGCTGTTTCCCCTTAACCTCTTCAAACCCCCTGCTCCTAAAAAGCACATTTGTTCCTGATTGGCCAGTTTCTGGAAGCCTGCTGAGGAGCAGAATGCCTGCACTGCATGGTTTCAGACATACAGAGGCTTGAAAATGAGTCCAATTCTCATTTCCTGAACCCCGCTGCTGTGTACTTTTAATTAAGCGATGACTTTCTCCGTTTCATCATGTTTCATGTTGTTTTTTCTGAACAAAGATCGGGATGTAATAAAGCGTCTGTTCCTGTACGTTAAACTGTCCTGCAGTCCTAGAATGACCCGTAGACGCTTCCTCCCTGATATCAGTAATGACATCATCGTTAGTGCTTTCAGTAGAACATAGACAGCGGAGGCTCATGCATGAAGGCTGTGATTTTGAGCTGTGATTAAAGAACAGGTGCTAATTATAACGGCTGTTGACCGGCTCGCTATATTTAGTCTGACGTGTAAAATCGCTCCTGAAGCCTGCCTGCAGGCGTGAACGCAGACGCTTTATTTTTAGAGAACAAAGAGACGCTTTGACTCAGAAGCCTGTCGAACTTCACAGCTCAGCCGTGATCAAGCACTCGTCGCTTCGGCTCCTCAGGATGAAGAGCTAAGCCTGAACCTCACCACAAACCCAGCTCGGTCTCATTTTATCCACACTCAGACTTCCCTCTCTGCAAACTTCCTGTGATGTTAATCCGCTGTGGCGGCGGCGCGTGCCATTAGTCCTCGACTCGATCCGCTCCAAATGTTAATCTCATTAAATTTACATCCGTGCGCAAAGTCCCCGAACAGCACGGCCTCGCTCTGAGAGCGCTTCAACCGACCTGCACACACCTAATGACACGTCCAGGTTTGTTACTGTTTTACACCTGAGCCCAGTCCGCTGCACGGAGAATCACAGCTTCAGACCCACAACTGCAAAATACAACCCAACCTCCAAAATACAAAGCAACGAAAGTTTCAATGTCACAGAGTAAAGGCGCTCCAAAGATAAGACAGAGGATCAGATCCCACGTACGGAAAATCTTTTCCAAGATTAAAAGTACAGTGTGGAAAACCTCACCACTAGACGTCAGTAGCAGTCAGCTGAGTTCTGTTTCTAATCCTTCTAATCCAGTGCATAATCCTAGCTACGGTGGCTGCTCTGGGACAAACATGTTGTAGGCAGCCAAAAGATATCAGAAACACGACATTTAGACTCCTCCCCATAACGGCCAGCGTGTTTCTGCTACTGTTTGTGTTTTTGGGGGTAGTATTGGACGATAAATTAAAATGGAAATCTCATATTGAACATGTTAGAAAAAAGATGGTTAAAAATATTTCTGGGTAATGTCAGAGATATACTAGATAAGGCAATGCGTATTTTATATTTCGCACTAATTCCCCCCTATCTCAGTTATTGTGCTGAGGTGTGGGGGAATTCATATGCGACTAAAATAAATGCTCTATACTTGTTACAGAAGAAAGTGGTACGAATGGTTCATAATGTTAAATATAGAGAACAAACAAATAATCTGTTTATAAAATCGAAATTGTTGAAATTTGAAGACTTAGTGAAATTACAGACATTATTATTCATGTGCAAGGCAAGAAATAACACATTACCTCTTAAGTTACAAAGTTTGTTTGTATTGTGTTCAGGAAGTGGGGACAGTAAAAGGAAGTTTGACTTTGAGCATCAGTTTGCTAAAACCACACAAAGGCCAATGTGTCCGACAGTTAAAGGTCTAAGAATCTCTTGAAGATAATCTCAAGATGCACCGTTTTAAAAGTGTTACATACTTAACAGGATAAATCAATATGAAGAACATGAAAGTAATTTGGGCTAAATGTGGAAGGAAAACATTTCATTGCCATTTAATGCTGCATATTGTGATTATACTGATTTGTTGTTTAGTTTTGCATTGTTACATAAAAATACATGTTAGAGGGTTTTTTAGGGGTTGTTGGCGCCTTCTTGTAAGAATAATTGGATTGCAGATAGGGGGCAGGCGCTAACAAGAGTTTATTCTTCTTGCTGCTCCTTTTCACCCACGGGTGCGGTGTCATATTAATGGGAAGGAGGTTCTGTATGTAGGAAACGAAACACTGTTGAACCATGTGTGAAATTAATAAAGAAATGAAATGTAATAAATATTTCTGCACAAACTAACATATTTGAATAATATCAGCACTCAGCTATAAACAGATATGTGTGAATCACATTTTCACTTTAAGCCTATCCGGTCTTTTAGTCTGATGCCATCAGCTGTTTCCAGGTCCAAACTCTGCTTCAGGTCCCAAAGTCAAACAAACACTGCAGCATCACTGAGTTAAAAACTGTCTAAATTCCTTCATCTTTAATAAAATGATCAGCGTTGCTGCTTTACCAGGTGTAATAATTAAGTTTAACATCCAGGCATCCATGAAAACAGGATTTATTCAATTCAGTTAGAAGTTAGCAGGAAGTTAGCTCGCTAGCTTCCACCGAAACATGATATAGCACGTTCTGAGAGATTTCAGAGAATTCAAACGTACAGCTCTGCTGTCACTTCAACATAAATGAAGACAGGAAACTAAACATCAGTGACGTTTGTAGAGTTACTGAAGTTGGGCTAGCTGCTATATAATGATGTGCTACGTGATCGCTAGCGAAACAGTGATCACTGACTGTTTTTAGGGGCTTGTTGAGATTAAATAGAACAAGATATGTTAAAAACACAACAGCCTTAATAAACGCAGAGTCGTTTGTTCACACGTCATCACTTAACAACAGGATAGTGAGTGTGGGCTGTCAGCGTGCTGTGAGCCACAGCTGGTGTCCACCTGTCGGTTCGAGTTCCCTCTGACCGAGGACGTGTCGGAGATCACTGCTGTTCACTGGCTTCACCATCAAACACTATCAGACACAACATGATCAATGACAACGCACTGATTTGTTGGATGGTGTGTGCGCGTGTGTGTGCGCGCGTGTGTGCGAGTGTGTGTGTGTGTGTGCGCGCGTGTGTGTGTGTGTGTGTCACTCCCTCTTGGTCACATGTCCGGGATCTGTAGGTTAGGGAAGCGATTCTTCTTGGTTTCCATTGAAAGGCGGCGTGTCATTAACCAATCAGGTCAAACAGGCTGTTTAAACAGTTTTTTCTTGGATTCTTCATGTTCACCTACTTTCATCAACAATGATAACAAGAGAAAACTTGACGTCCTGAACCAAATATGATCCATCGTCTCTTCCCTCCGACAGCAGTGCTGGGTTTAATGTGAGCTCGTTGATTATTTTCTTTTTTATCGTATTATGTCGTCTGTCAGTATCTCACATGGAAACGTGTGTAAGTTTGGCTGCAGCTTAATGTTTACCAAATCGCCTAATTAGAAGTAATCTGGTGCAACGTAGGAAGAATGTATATACTTCAAATTAAAGTGCTTGGCTACAGGCTTTTATTTTGAAATGTGTGTGGCGTACAGCAGGTTGTTGGTGCTGGTGGGTATTACATGCTTTGTTAAAGCCGGATATTTAAAGCAGGAACAACACATGACAGCCGCCGCCGCTCGGTTCACCGACTTTAGCTAATGTGCTGTAATATTCATGCATCTCCCACTTAAAAAAGTCTCTCCTCCAATATTCATGAAGGTGTTTGACTCAAACTGAGAGACACAAAGTCACATTGAAACTTTTCTAAAGTCTCATCTGCACTCTGGAGGATTTCTTCTGTCTCTTTCTGCATTTCTTATTTTGAACCGTAGAAAAATATGAAGTGTTCACGCTTTGAGAAATATAAACATGCCGACCCAGAGCCGTTGCTGCTTTGTCATTAACAAACAAATCCTCCTTTTCTTTTACTGCTTCTTACTTCCTGCCTCCATCTTCATTTGCTGCTTTTGAGTTGATGTAAACATCACAGCACCACAGCGGGACGATTCATCGCAACCAGCAGAAGGATGGTTTACTGACTCTCTCTACCCGCAAAACCACTTTGTCTAATACTGTATGTTTGTCAGTGAACAAAACGCAGACTCGCGCTCTCACTCACCTGAGGACTCATTAAAAACAGCGTCGACGTCGCTCGACATCACTAATCAGGCGTTTTACATCATAAGCATATAAAAATGTTGAAACAGCTTAATAACTTCTGAGCTGGATTAAGGTTGAAGCCTCACAATAAAAAACCTACTGATGTCCGTTTTGCCGATTCTTTCCTCTGACTTGAACAAACTGGTTAGCCGTCGTTAACTGGGAAAAATGGGATCACTTTCTGTGTTCTTCTATTAACCTGACACACCTCCACCTGGTGGAGAACAGTTTCTGATGCTCCTCTGTGGCAGCTGACTCCATGTTCCCGTGACCCCACGTTGACCTCCATGCTCCTAATTCTGAGGCCTTCTCATGAACGAGCAGCTGGACCACCTCTCAGCGCTGGTGTCCACACCACAGGGAAGCTAAGGAGGTTACAAGCATCGTTTTATTATCGTAGGGTCTGCCTTACAACATAAAGCGCCTTGAGGCGACTGCTGTGTAAATAAAATTGACTTGAATTGAAGTT